ACCCAACTCACTCAAGTCCCTACTCCGTACCCCTATATTCTTAATAAAAAAAAACCTTTCTCTCGGGTTAAATGCATCTATCTGAATCTCTTCCACCCTCGAAGGAAAAAAGGGGGGTGGGGGTGGGGTTTAGGGGGAATTGTTCATTTTACTTTTTTTGTTGGTTGGTTGATCTCTCAACAATCATGAAACCAATGACTACTTGCATAACTGATCCAATTTTCTTGTCCGCAGCGCCCCTTCACCTTCTTTTGAATTGGTATAGGATATCTCATGAGATACGACTAGTTTGTATGATTCAGTTTGTTATGGTAGTGGATAATGGTCCCTCTCCTCTCTCTTTCTTTATGTGAGGTGTTTTGTAAGATCCTAGCTATATTTTATTTAAGATGACTTCAGTAGGGACCCCTGAGATTTAATAAGTACAGGGAAGATACACCATGTCGTTAAACCTGAGATGTACTAAGTACAAGGAAGATACACCAGCTGTCGACTGTTGTTTAATGATACTTCTAACCTTTCTTGAAGCCCTCTCACCAAGACAAATCAGAATGAAAGAACGTTAGAATGTTCTCCTTCCAACTTTCCCCTCTAGTTCATCTACTCTTCTTTGGTCTAAAAGGTACTCCCTCTACTTCAAAAAGATTGGCGCTATTTCCTTATTAGTCTGTTTAAAAAGGAGTGACGCCTTTCTAAATTTAGAAGAAATAATTTAACTTGAACTTTCCATTTTACCATTAATGATAACCACACAAATGTTATGGCATGTTTAAGAGTTAAGACTAGTAGTCTTAAAAGTCTTATAGCCGCATAAATATTATGGCATATTTAAAATCACAAGTTTCAAAGTCTCTCAAAAAAAAAAGAAAAAAGACTACAAGTTTCAAAGTCTTTCTCAAAAGAAATAAAAAGACCACAAGTTTCAAAGTCTTCATTTCTCTCTTACATTTTGTGCCCAATCAAACAATAGCATATAAACTGAAACAGAGGGAGTAATAACTATGAATAGTCAACGACTTATGGGAAAGAGTAGAATGTGATTGCATAAGGTCTAAATTGAGCTCACCAAATCTAATCTGATTAAGAAAATGTCACCCTCTCAGTTGCTTATAGAAAAAAGTTGGGAAGTATGATAGTAGTTACCTCCAATACATTCAACTAGCTATAGAAAGAAAAGCTCAGTCAGCATTTTATCAAAAGCCTAAGCTTATGCATTACATTAGTCCAGTGGGAGTTTTAATGCTAACTTTCATTTAATATCTTGTGTTTAGGACACAGCATATTAATTTTATACAATTTGCTGATAAGGTTTAGTTCATTTATGTAGGAAAAAGTGTATGGAACGCAAAGAATAGTTCCACTGGGAGCAGCTCAGTTTTAACTGAGATTCAATTGAACAAGCCTGCAGCTGATGCACATCCCCCAGACACAGGTCCTGGCAAAAGCTTCAGAAACTTCCGGTTTGACACTACTTCGATATATCGTGCAATGGAAGCTGGCTTCTCTTCTTAAAGTGTAGAGTGTAGTCACGGTCGATTGTCAAGTTTCATGTGCACATATAGCTTCAGTCACCACATCAATTGTCGACAAAATCTAGGTCTCTTCATGTTAATCCGCCAGTCAAGTTCGTAGTTTTGTGGCTGTTCTGTTCAGGTAAAGGTTTGTGATGCATGTACAGTATGTACAGGAACCTTTTGTATTGAATAGTCAAGCATGTTCTTTAGTAGATGCAAACACACTCCTTTTAATTTGGACACTATATTTTCCTACGTATCAGTGTTGCCCGAACTCCTAACTGAGTCCGTACTTCCATCTTGCTGTCTTTCTTCTCGAGCAATGACAGTTCTAGCATGGAGGCCTCAAACTCGAGTTATGTAATTTTTGGACTCTAGCAAATTTCGGATATTTATGCAAATACTCTTGGTACTAAAATTTAACGCAGGACAAAAGTGGTATATGTCAAATAGTATAAGGGTAATTGTAGGCCTTTTTCGATTTATCTATACATTTAAGTTGGATGAAGTTCGAAAGGCAGTTCCTAATGAAATATACTGTTTAAAGCAACGATCCGCTTAGTGATAAAGTGTTTGCATATGTTATAGTTCTACAATCGCCAGCAAAGAGGGATTTAAAGGAATAGTAACCAAGGATAGCGGTAGAGAACGGATGTAAGTCAATTCTGACCCTGCTAGGGAAAGGAAGCAAACTCTCGACATCTTACTTTTTAATAAAGTGAAACGATACTGCATTTTTAACGGATACACACGAGGCGAAACTCTAGTTTTGAGAGGTCTCTATTTCGGCATTTTTGCTGCTAACTGTTATTCGATAAAGCCCTTTGACTGGTATTATAACTATACATCCAACTAGCTGCAAGTAATTTCATAGAATTGCTGGTATTGAACTGGAAAGGAACTGCGGTAAAAAGGCAGCTACAGCTATCTTAATAAAACTATTCCAAATGAAAATTGCGAAAGTGACCGACAGATTTAGACTTTTTTTTTTGAGACTACATAAGAACATACAAACTAAATCCTAGTACGAAAGCCTATTGAAGGGTTCTGCAGTCCGAACCATCCCATGCCTGACAATACATCATATCTTTAGTTGTTTCAAAATCTCAATTTCTAGAGACTCCTGTGGCTTCTCCTCAGCTGCAGTCTTGGTTCCTTCCACAGGCATCGTCACGCTCCTTGAAATTTCAAAGTCAGCTGGCTCCTCTCTCTTAGTCGGCTGGACTTGAGAACATGGTTGCTCTTCAGAATGGTCATGTGCCAATTCTGGCTTGCATGGTACTGCTTTACAAGTTGGTAATTCATGTACCTGAATTTCAGGTCCCTCTGAAGCTAGTGGTTCTTCAACTTTAACAGGTGGAGCTTTAGAAAAGGTAGGCTCCACTACTTGAAGTGCTGTATCTAATGTGGGGAGCTTTTCTGCCCGAACAGGGGGTGCAGCATAAACCGGCATTGCCTGTCTTACACAGACAGGTGGTGCCACTCCCAGACCCGGAGACCTTATAACACTTGGAGACCTGGATGGTGGAGGAAGTGGGGGTGCAGAGTAAACAGGAATTGCATTCCGTATGGTCACTGGAGGAGCCATTCGATGGTGTGGGCCAAAATGCCTGACAGGAATATATGGGGCTGCACTAGCAGCAGGGAACTTCTCCGCTCGAACCTTGTGGCTGCTATCTACAGAAAAGCTGTCACTTAAAATGGCACTTATGGCTTGAGCAGTCCTTGGGCTCAATGATGTGTCGCTTTCTGTAGTATCAAAGGGTCTACTTGGAGTAGCAGGTTTTAGACATAATGGACTGACCGGCCTACTGCGAGGAGCTGTTCTTGGACATATTAGGGGAAGGAGTTTTGACGTTGTAGATGGAGCCTGTTGTACACTTGATCTTGGATTAGGTGTTGGAAATTTAATCGGGAATGATATTCTAGCCAGCCTTGCCTTCAAAATATACTTTTGTAGTGCACGTGCAACAGTTACATGCTCTTGCTCATCATTTCTTCCTCGGTCTGGTTTTGAACTTTCAGACTGCTGTGCTACTGATAGACAAATAATAGAAGAATGTCAAACAGAATAGTTCAACTGATCATTCATGATAGTAAAATACAAATTAAAGCTTATCATCAGTGTAGAAAGTGAATATCTATCTAATTAATATAAATTAGAAACGAAAAATGTAATGATTTGCAAGCACAAGCATTCAGGCAAATGTTAGATTGTAGCACTGAAAGTTCTCGTACCACAGAATTTCCAACATTTGATGCACCATGCCAATGCTGATGATATAAACATCTGTAAACATTCAGGCAAGCATTACATTCTAGCACTAAAATCCTTCTCAATCAATGTCTTTACTTGAATGTTTAAAATACCTGGACCTCTTAAGCTTATCATTTTTTAATGAATCGTCCGGACAAGAAAGTCACGAAGCTCAGAAAGAAGAGAAATAGCCCGTCTGGTTTAATCTTTTTAATTTTTCGAACTGGATGTTATAATTAACTCTGCTGTTGAGTAAGCTGTGAAAATAGTACCGGGTAGCCAGTTTTCGGACTAGCAATTGAAAAATAGCCAGCGTTTGTAAAGTCATTGAAAAATAGCCACTATTTTGCTGCAACACGGAAAGTTCCAGCATAATATACCGGAGATTGGAGCACCTGTGTATGAACTTCCAGCATATTATGCTGGAACTCTAGTATATTATGCTGGAAGTTCACATGTAAAAAACTCGAACTCCAGTATATTATGCTGGAATATATTCCGAATTTTGAACAGTGTTTTCGTTCAGATTTATCTTTATATGAAAAGTGGCTAAATTTCGATTACTTTTGAAACTGTGGCTATTTTTCAATTACCACTTGTAAATTTGGCTATTTTTGAATTTCACCCGAGTAAGCTCTAGCTCAGCTCAACTTTTTGATAATACAACCGAGTTTCGAGCTTGTATATTATATCATTTATAACCATTTATCCTCAGACATACAAATATGAAAGTACCTAAGTATATGAAACATCAATTATTCTCTCAAGTATGTATCTTTGATAATCAATAATGATCTTTGTAAGAATTAGTGAAAAAGACTCTAATCCACTATTTAGTTTTTCTAGATTTTCAAAAATAATATATAAGTGAGCTTGAATTGAGTTCATGCTCGAGCTGGTTTATTTGCTTGTAATTATTAAATATTAAGCTTGTATGCCATTTAGCTAAACATCGATTATTCTCTCAAGTATGTATCTTTGATAATCAATAATGATCTTTGTAAGAATTAGTGAAAAAGACTCTAAGCCACTATTTAGTTTTTCTAGATTTTCAAAAAATAATATATAAGTGAGCTTGAATTGAGTTCATGCTCGAGCTGGTTTATTTGCTTGTAATTATTAAATATTAAGCTTGTATGCCATTTAGCTAAAATCGAGCTCAGCTATTATAAAACCAGCTCGGATATTCAAAACGAGGCTATACATGACCACCGATACATCCAGTATTACCTGACAAAAACCAAAAGGCATATGTCACCTGACCAAACCAAGAGGCATACATGTGTAGGTATGTACATCTAGAACCGAATAGGTGAACACCTCCACCCCCCCCCCCCCCCCCCCAAAAAAAAAAGGAACTAGTGCACCAAACATCGGCTGCCCAACAATGGAAAAAGAAAGAGCAGGGGGAAGAGGAAGAATAAGGGGTGGCAAGGCAGAGGGAACATATGCTCTGACAATTTTGAGCAGAAATGTCCAAGCAGGACTTGATTTATAGTTCTATCAGTCATTAGTCATTTGCCCTCTTTGGAGCTGCCATTCAAATTTCAAGTCAATAGCAATCTTTAACAGATATTACGCATGATGATGCAAAATACAGGCATTAGGAAGTTTTCATCCAATTGGAAGTTAAATGTTAGTAATGCTAGGAAGACCAGAAGAAAGTGCCTGGGTAATTGTGATGTATGCAACCATATATAAAGGGAAAACAGGCGGGTGGTGAGTTGGGTCAGTGTAGCTCAGTCCCCTTTTTGTGTTGGGATGGTGGTGGTTGGGAGGGTACATTTGGAATTAATAAGAGCCTAGCTGGTAATTGTGATGTATGCAACTGTATACAAAGAGAAAACAGGCAGGTGGGTTGGGTCAATGTAATTTCTACCCCCTTTTTGGGTTGGGGTGGTGGCAGTTGGGAGGAAAACATTTGGAATTAACAAGAGACTAGCTAAATACTTCACATAAAATGTCCAAGTTCACTAGGTTCACTGGTTTTTACTTCATATTCTTCTATTTTTTTTAATTTTTTAGGATAAGAGTGGTTTTTATGCTCATATACTTTTTTGCTTCCCAAGAAGCCTCATTCTCCAGGTCTTATCTTAAGCTCTTAGCTAACTGTTGATCCTTTTATCTATCTAGCCATCTATATGCTAGTCTGTATGGAAGCCGTCCTGATTTTGTTCATCAGTTTTTCAGCTAGCTTTTTACATATACAAGTAGGTATATATACTTATTATTTTCTAAATAGCTGATAATATCAGTGGCACTCATCATCCACCTAGTTGTGCTTCCACTACAATCCAAACAGATTCATCCATTTTCGAGCCCTAAGTTTTGAATTCACTCTTTCAATAATTCAATTGTCTCTTCGTTCTTGTTCCTCCCTCTTCTGCTTCTGCTGTAGTTTTCACCTCAGCTATTCTTCAGCGTATCTTTGCAGTTCCGTCAACCTAAACAATTCACTAGTACAGCCCTTTACCCTGAAATTTGGCACTGCATAATTTCTGTTCAGATGATCCAGACTTTTTCTTTAAACCAACTAAACATATCTATATTCTTCCATCTTCCGTGCTGAGTCTCACACCAGATGCAAAATAAGTTTAGAAGAATATAACACCCCCCAAAACCCTAAATCCACACACAAGTCATGATTTGGCATTTATAACAGCTCCATAAGCCTTGCCGACACGCATACATACATGCGATGCAGCTTTATGATAACTTCTTCATAAAGAAATAATGTTCCCAAATAATCCATGCAGCAAATATGAATTGGTTCACAGACGTTGGAATCACTTACATAATTTCAGAGACGACCAAGCTGCCATGGCTGCATTCTTTTCAGCTTGCTTCTTATTCTTTGCTGGCTCGCCAGTAAATGTGACGCCTGCCAACTCTACCGTGCAGGTAAAGACAGGAAGATGTCCTAGACCAGATCTAAAAGTCGTATATGCTGGCAATGATGCTCCTACTCTTTGTGAAACTTCCTGTAACAGATTCTTATACACCCCTGTCTCATCCTGCAAATCAGTGTTTAAAGCATCAGAAACCACAATGCCAAAGTAATCATGAGCCTTCTACTGTCACAACTAAGT